TATATTTGCTTATAACCCCAATTAAAGGACTTGTAACCTTACTTACTAAGTCCCATGATCCTCCAAGTACTGGGAGCCACTGTTTCCATAAGCCGGCCCACTTCCGAAGCCGTAGCGTGCGAAGGTGGAGGACTACGTTGCGAAGGCTGGCAAGGTGCAGATGTCCGAGTACTCCTAAACAGCAGGAGGTACACATAATGAGCTCCTTGGTTCACACTTAATTCTAAGGGTTTAGGCTTGAGGGTTTAGAGCGAAACCTCCCCCTATACTCTGCGCAGGGACCGTAAGTCGTTCAGCAATCCCATAGTTTATATCGAGCATTTAGTTTCGAGCGTGCAGGAAGTCGGGGGTGGGAGCGTTGAATGTCACCGGCTTCTAGCAGAACACGGGTTCGAGCTGTTGTGTCTGATAGTTCGGATTCGCAGAACGCGCCCTCACAACAGAAGCATCATTGCCCCTCCAGCTGAAACGGACACCCTAATCCCCAGAAGCCCTAAACGAGTGCCAAGGTCCACCCCGACAGCACACCATGCTGAAATCGACGTGTCTAGACGCTGGCGGCTGCTCATTTCCTGTCAGCATGGCCGTTGGAGCAGGATGGTGTCTGTCATTGTTTTACACCACCCGCAAATGCAGTTCCGATTAACGCCCTGCGTTGGGAGCGTTGCAGTCAAGCTTGGGCTTGAAATGCAAAAAGTGCGATCTTAGAGTAGCGGGGTTAGGACCTTGGGCCGTCACATGGTCTCTGTCCTGAGAATCATCATCATCATCATCATCATCATCATCATCATCACTATCAGTATCATCACCAGTATCATCACCATCAGTATCATCACCACTGTCATCATCATCATCATTATTATCACCATCATCACCATCACCGTCACAATCACATCCACTGCCGCCACCACCAGCACAACCATCCCATCTCTCTATCCGTCCATCTAGAATCGTCATGACCAGGCCCATTCTCCTGCTCAGCCTCAACCTCACAAAAGTAACCCGCGTGGGTGGGGGAGGTTGGGGGGTGGTTGGAATCACCATCGGTATCCTCGTCGTCAGAGCTTGCATCCAATTCAGTTCCTACAGGTTGCAAGGAACCACCATAAACGACATGCCTCATGGCCGTGCTGGCCGGCAGCTGTGTCTCATGCCGTGCTCCTCTCGGCCCAAGTCTCCAGGGAGACTTTCGGATCCGCGAAAAGTGCTTTTTGTGGGCCATCGGGCCTCTCCTCTACTAGCTTACTAGTTCATAGCTTTTACCGCATGGCTGCCCGTGTGATCGCGGCGGTGCTGATTGCGGTGGCCGCCGGCCAAGAAGCGCTGAGCCTCGACGACGAGTGCGCCGGCGAGGAGCAATGTGCGCTGAACGCACTGCAGCGGCGAGGTGAGGCCGTGTCGGCACTGGAGAAGACAGCAGAAGCTGCCGGCGCTCCGAAGTGCGAGAGCCTCCAACACCCCTCCAACAACATTTGCCGTTCGACGGTCGAATGGGCGCACAGGGGCGGAAAGTACGACCGACATGGGCCGCAGTGGTTTGCTGACATGCAGTCCATTTCCGGTGTGGATTACAAGACAGCCAGCCTCGGCGACTGGCAAAAGCTCTACTTCTGCGCACCTCCCGGAGGCAAGCAGTGTGGGTCGCCGCCGTGCACCTGCACGAACCCTCCATGTGATGTCTGCTTCCAGGGGAAGAGCAAAGCCAAATGCAGCGATCCCGACAGCATCGCGTGCAAACCACCAGCCACGGCGCTGGACTACAACGGGATGGCTTGGGAGGACATGAATGTCTCTGGCACAGGTCCTTTCCATGT